TTTGGCTACTTTTTATTACAAATTGAAAGGAGCAGAGGTTTCCCTGCAGTACCCAGAACTTTCCCTACACCCTCTCCCACACTCCAGGGCCACCCTAGCCGAGCCGAGCCCACTCCGGGGCGCTCGGACCCTGACGCCGAGCCCCGAGCTGGAGGAGAACCCAAAAGGGACACCAGGTGGTTAGGTGTTGAGTGGCGGAGGCAAGGAGTAATTAATACTGAGACAAAAGGTAATTTCCACTTCCAGACTTTTCCTTGGCGGGTTTTATTAACCAAATCTATAACGTGGACACTCTGGGCTTTACAGCCTCTTTAAGGAGTCTTCCGCTGTCTGTCCCCCGGTCTCCCCGCCCTGCCCTCAGCAGTTCACTAGCAAATACCCCACCTCCCTCTGCCTCACGTCCCGCCAGCTCTAGACCAACCCCAGCCCAAGGGGAAAAGGTTCCCAGTCTTTTGACCGCGCATCCGGGGTCTATAGATGAGCTCAGTTTGAAAGGAGGTATTACAAGATTTCAGTGTTAGGAACCCTTTATATCACCACAGACACTTTCAGATCCTCAGCCCCCCTCCTCCTTCCTTTTTTTTTTTCTTTTTTTTTTTTTTTTGTTGGGTCTTCTCCACCCGGGGGCTATTTAACAAAGGCAGTCTGTTAACTAACATTTTTAACTCAGCAACTCCTTTCCAAACACACTTAAACTTGATACCAATGTCTGTCATTTTGTGAGTGGGGAGGTGGGCTCTGTGTGTGTGTGTGTGTGTGTGTGTGTGTGTGTGTGTATGCGTGTAAAAGCGAGACGTGAAGTTTGTCAGTGAATGGGAAAGTGAAGGGCTTATTTGGGAAGGTGTCACAAACATATTTACAGTGAAATAATTCAAGAAATAATGTGGAAGAGTGCCAAATCTCATTAGTATTAAAAAAAAAAAAGTATAGTTTTCTTGAGAACTCACAGGGGGGGGGGGTAAAATATGACCTAACACCCAGAATGGACACTGTCTTTGATGGTGAGAGTGAGGTAGATGAAATGAAATTCATAAAGGAAAGACATTTTAAGTGTGTCTGTGTGTGTGTGTCTGTGTGTGTGTGTGTGTGTGTGTGTGTGTGTGTAGCATTTGTGGGCAGTTAAAATCTGTCGTTCCATGATTCCCTCCCCTCCCCCAACCTGGCTCTTATCTCCTTTGTGGTCTTTTTTTGTCATTAAATGCCCCTATCTTGATCCCGGTCTCAATCTGTACTTCCATATTTCTGTATATTTCTCTTTCTAACCAAAGTCCGTTTTTGGTTTTTACTTTGCAGTAAATGTTTTACCTTTTTTCTCTGGAGGTTCTGACCTGCTTTTGAAGTGTTGGGGTGGGGGGTGCAGTCATTATTATGTAAAGTTAGGCACAGGTAAGGTCAGGAATGGGGAAAATGGGAGGAGTTATAGACGGTCTGAGGAGGGAAGAATTAAGGGAGGAGAGAAGGGATGGGGGAAGGGGGAGGGAAAAGTCAGACACCCTCTGGCCTTTCAGAGGTCAGGGCTCAGACAGTGCTGTGACCTTCTTTCCCTCTAGGCAACCAGCCCAGTGTTTATAAACAAAATCAGGCGGGACTCTCCCCAAACAATAGCACTTCACCAACTTCACAAGCACTTCAACAGCTCTTATGCAAATTAATGAGGACTCCTTATCACTTACCACTACACCCCCCACCTCCCTCAGCACCAGTATACTCACTGCCTGCCCCCAAACCCAGGATCACAAGCACACCCTTCTCAAAACACATGGAGATATTTCCAGCAAACATATCCAACAAAAATTTTACATTTCATCTGGGGAATAGCTGTAAGAGACAACGACGCAGATGGGAAAAGATAGATAAGTGGGAAAAGAAAGAACTGAGATTTCACTGAATAGATGATAAAGTTGTGATCTTTTTAAACCTGAAACATCTATATCTAGTCAAAACAGTGCTGTTTAGACAATGTACTAAACACTGGCTACCAAATAGAATTATTTGAAAACAGGACAATACATTCATCTCAACATCCACATTTCCAAGACAAAAGTGCAGATCTTTATAACTGAAGAAAAGCCACCACCTCTGTATGTAACATCCCTAAATATTAGACACAAAAGCACCATTAAATCCTGCAGCAAACAAACAGCCCATCTGATCTAAGTTACAAAAATGTATAATTAAATCCATCTTCAATTACAAAAGGCAGCTAGCAGAAACTAAATCAAAGATTTTGAAACAAATGTTGTTTGCCAAGGTACAGAAATGATAGCTTTACATTATATTGTAACCAAAATTCCACTTCAGGAATAAATTACAAGATAGCAAGAAAAAAAAAAAAGGTGAAAGAAAAAAAAAGAATTAAATGATTTCAAACTTTTGCTTTAAAATGATTATTAGTGAAAGTCTAAGAGAAAAATGTTAAAGAAAATATACCTCAGAGCAAAAAGATCATCTCCTTTTCTTCTTTGTCTATCAGTCCCCTGTTAAAGCATATGGAAAATGTTTTCAAAATGCCCAGATTTGGCACATTGTCATTGCAAAGAGAGGAGCGCAGTGATGCTGTTAGAGAAAATGGGAAATAAATTCAGGATTGGGTGCTGCCTCCTTCAATGCGGATTTATCTAAGTTTAATTTAATATTCCGCAATCACTGAATGATCGCATATAATTCACAGAGATTTTAAAGGGCTCTATTTAAATACCTTGAGCAACAAGAGAATGAAATTTAAACCATTGCAGCCATTGCTTATATTTTTTATTTTCCTATTAGAAGAACTTTAACTGACAATTTCTAATAATAAAAGGAAAAACGATAAAGGTTTGGATTTTTTAAAGGGAGAATGTTAAAAGAAAGCATTAGCTTTATTAAAATCATTCTGAACATAAAATCAAAAGGCACAAAATGGTTGTTTGTAAAACACTAAACCTTTAATCGATTTTATTGGCATTCCGATCGATTAGATAAACGGAAATCTATAGCAAACATCAAAGCATTTAAAACATTTTCTCTATCTCATTTATAAACAAAACTTTTCTTTTCAGCAGAAAAAAAAATGATTATCAAACGACTAACAGGAAATTCTTCAGATATCAAATTACGATAATAAAATTATTTCCACATGGAAAGGGATAATGACAATGATGGTAGTAATTACAATAATGAATAATTCAACAACCCTTTGACATGTATGTTAGAACCTCCAGCAGAAACCGCTCTAAAGGGGGGTACTTTAAAATAAAGACTTTATTTTTTTAAATTGAAGTATAGTTGACAATACTTTTCTTTTTAAGGGAAATGTTTTTTAGAGATAACTCTAGGGGAGTCGCTTAGGTGTGGCTGTCGGACTGGTGTTAATTTCCCTGCGGTTGCAAAGGAGTCATTTTCTTCGTCGGCGTTTCCCTTCCAAATTGATACTTCTTATTAGCAAAAATTAATATGCAAATGTCAGCGAGCCCTACCAGGTTTACAAACTTGTATCCGGACCTGTCTTCTACTTAATCTAAAAGGCGATTCTCAAAATAGAGAAGGGGGCGAGGGTTAGACTCCCCAAACCTGAAAGTGATCACACATGTGATCTTTCAAGTGAGGGAAAATAATTTATTTTGGAGATGTGAAAACTGCTATCCAGAGAAACGCAGCAATCAGAGCTCGTGGCATTTTCGCTGCAGCAAGAGGAAGTGTTGCTGTAACGGGTATTCTGTTTATTTGTTAAAGAAAATCAATGGAAGTGGCTGTAAAGTAGTTAGTGAGGCGTGTGTTTGGGACTCGCGGTGACTCGTGAAGGCTGACCCAGCGGCTCTCCTCCTGGCCAGAAAAGTCCCCGCATCGCCCCGAGCCGGGGCGCGGGCGGTGCGGCACCTGGCTCCTAACTCGCGGGGGCTGCCCCGCGGTGCTCTCGCCGACCGCCCGAGTCGCTCGGGTTCTCTGCTCTCGCTGCTCTCTGTCCTCGCAGTTGCCCCTTGCAGTTGACGGCGGTGGCCTTCCCACGCCCCCCCTCCGCAGCACACACCTTCTTCCTCCTCTTCTCCAGCTGACTCTGGTCGCTCCCTCCTCTGCGCTACAGCTCTGAACTTCTGTACCTCTCCCCCTGCCATTGGAATGCCCCTCTTCCGACTCTCCAGGTCCCTTCGGTGAATCGCGGAATCGCTCTCTCCTACCCCGCCCCTCCCCCATTTCTCTCCCCTGCCAATTATTTAGCACCCGGGTCTTCTTACCCTCGCACTTCTATCCTCTCCTCCAGACATTCCAGAGAGTTCTCATCACACCAGAATGCACTCTTTTTTCTCCTCCTCCTACTCCCCTTGGATTGGGGAGTGGGGGGAGGGGGGTTGGATTTTGAGTTGAACTCCCAGGGGTTTTATTCTATTCTTTTAACAGCTTTACTTTCCCTTTTCTTCTTTGCGTAACCTTCACCTACCTACTAATTTATAACAGAAGCGGTTTCTTTCCCTTTCATTTCCTAGTTTACAGTTTCCGTCTGGGGTTGTGCCTCGCACATGCCCCCCTCTGCCTCCCCCCCTCTCCCGGGCCGCCCCCACCGGCCGCCGGCCCAGGCAACTATTTTCATTTACTCGGTTGCGGTCTCACTGCACTTTCTCTCCTCGGAATAAGTTAGTTTTCCACGATTTGAAGTTCTCCGTACAGCGCCTCTTTATTTGTCAAACTGCCTCGCTGCCCAAATAAAGGGTGGGATGGGGGGGGGGAGAGGTGTATCGCCCACCTAAGTCCCCTTTTAACAACCGCCTACTCCCAGTCCCACCACCCGGCCAGGTAATGTCTTGGGGGAATAATAACGAATTCTGGAAGGTTTTTCTTCTCAGCGCGTGGAGATTGCTCATGAGTTATTCCCGGGAGGGTCTCAGACCCCTCCCTTGTATCTCCTGGCTTCGAGTGGTCACCGTTTCAACCTCCCCCACCTCTCTTCTTCCTCCCTCACTGGCCGTCCGGGCTGCGGGAGGGGAGCGCAGTCTAAAGACCTCGTCCTCTTGGCTTCTCGTTTCTAGCTGCTGCAGCTGCCGCTGAAATTCGCTGTGGCCGCTGCCTCTTCCCGCTTTAATCCCAGACCTCCAGTCATTGGGCAGCTCCTCAGAGGCAAGAAGTCAACACCATGGCAACCCGACAAGCCTATCAAATCACCGGCTGGCGTGACAGCAGCAACACTGCAGGCTGGAGTGGGCTGGGCAGAGGAGCCGAGTGGCCACTACGCTCAGGTACACAGTCTGGGAGCGGACAGCCACTGACAGCCTCCACGTTCTGGCTACACGGATGTGCACCACCCAGTTCGTACCCCTACCCTACGTC